TATAAAATTTATATTTTCTGACTCAATTTCAAAAGGTTGAAGGAATTCCAAAACACCTTTTATGGCATAATAATTATTTTCAATTCTACATACTATCTTTAGCTGCTTTTAAAAACGTTCTAAGAAAGTCCAATCAGACCAATTTAATCCCTAAACTATTCCACACTTTTAAAATTTAATTAAATAAAAATATTAAAAACTATTTAAAATAACTTGTTTAGCAGACTGTACAATAGCTATCTTAGTCACACGTAGCGCGTTCTCTGTCTGGGCGTCGAACACCTCTAGAAATTTGATGAACTGTATTTTTTAAACGAATACCAAATAAAAAAGCAAAACAAAAGAATTGTGAACCTAAAATGTGTTTTAAGATTTATTGTTGTTTGCGTTTTACAAAATCAATGAAGAAAAACATTCAAGTGTTCTCAACTCAAATATTTGCATAATTTAAGGAAATATATGTCCGCATAAGCAATATAAATTGGCTCTTTGATTCTATGAGACAGCTGTACACGATCTAGCTGCTTTTAGTTTCAGCTAGCAACCGTTCTGGATTACCTCTATGCTCTCAGTAATTAGATTTCCACCAAGTTACAAAATGCATTAATCAGAAAGACAATAAATAATGATCTAACAATACTGGATCATATCGGTCCAATATTATTTTCTATTCTGATTAACTCTTACAGATATAAGCTACTAACTAAACTTCCGCAAAGTTATTTCATGCATGGATTGGAGTAAGATCACCGAAATAAAGGTATAATAAGATTGGATCTTATCAGTCTCTTCTCAATTTGTCATAAGTTATATGAATAACTCTTTTGTAGATCTAAGCCACTAACGACACCTGCAAAATAACTTCATATTACTATTAATAAGACTGGATCATATCAGTCCCATATTAATTTGCCAAAATAGACCTGAAAAACTCTTTTACAGATCCAAGCTACTAATTAGATATCCACAAAGTTACAAAATGCATTAATCAGATAAAAAATGATTAAATATGAACTAATAAGAATGGATCACGTCGTTCTAATATTTTTTTCTATTCTGATTAACTCTTTTACAGATCTGAACCACTAACTAGACTTCGGCAAAGTTACTTCATGCATGGATTGGAGGAAGATCACTAAAATAACAGTATAATAAGACTGGACCCTATTAATCTCCTTTAAGTTACTTAAACGACTCTTTTACAGATCTGAGTCAGTAAAACTAGATTTCCACAAAGTTACAAAATGCATTGATCACAGAAACAATACTGAAATAATAAACTGCTAAGATTGGACAGATCAGTCCAATATTATTTCGCAACTGTTTTAACAATTTGAGATATTAACTAGACTTTTGCAAAATTGTTGTATGCATGGATCGGAGAACATCACTGAAATAATAGTCTACTAAGAGCACAGCTTATACAATACAGCTAAAACACTCTCTTGGCGGCAACGGTTTGCGTCGATTTCGTCGCGCATCGCTTAAGCTCCGCCTTCGAAGGAAAAAGACGGTTTTGGCGTTCAGAAGCGTACTTAGGCAAGGTGTTGAGTCGTGCGTATAATTTCGTTGATTGTATAATTTCGTGGAGCCTATAATTTCGTTGATTTTGTTTGAGTTAAAGGTACTGTTATTATTTTGGTGACTCTTTAGCTGTGAGTAGAATGAGTTTGTGCAGTCAAAAGCTATTTTAATAAGGGTTATACCTGCAAGAAAACATTCTTTAGTTTTCCCAAGGACCCAAACCGATAAGTACTACATTATAAGAAATTTTCATTGTTAAAAATATAATTTATACAGTGTGTCTCATTAGTGCGTTATTGTTCATTATTTTGTTGTAGACACGCAAGAAAGTTTTAAATAAAAGTTATATGGATTTGAAAAATACCTACATATTTTAAAAATATCTTTGGGTATACAGGGTGTCACGTTTTTGCCTGGAAAATTAAAATGTATGTTTTTTAAATGGAACACCTTGTATTTTATTTTATGATGAAATTATTAACATCCTAAATTATTGTAAAGACGAATTGCTACAGAAAAATTTTATCAGGTATGTGTGTGGTTACCTTTTAATAAAAGCCTTGCGGATCCACTCCTGCGATACCTGTCTTAAATATAACAAAGATCACGTTGAATTAGACGATTTTTCTTTTTATTGCTTTTAAAAGGCATATGATAACGCCAATTCAGATACATTTGGAAATCTGCAACTGTCAAATGATGAATTTGTAGAACTAATATTCAATATTGAAAAGATATTTTAAAATAATTTTGAAGAATTGGCTACAAAAAATAACATTTGTACCACACTTTTAGAATTAATTAACCCAATACCCTTTAGTCATCCATGCTAACGTTTTCCAAAAGAATAACTTATTTTATTGTATGTTTAATCTCAATAACTAAAAAATATACTGACAATTAGTTTGACAGAATTATCATTTATTTAAAATTTTAAAAATAATAGCAGTCGGTTGATCAAAATATGAACGGTGATTGGCGAATTTATTTTTTTTTGCAGTGTTCTCACTACCTAGAATGGATATGAAATATATTCGTTCAATTGAAGGCAATAGCATATTTTTTTGTTTTGTAATCTGTGCATGGATATTAGCCAATCTACGCACATACTACAAAACGAAAAATTATGTTATTGCGTTCAACTACGAATATAATTCATATCCATTTTAGGTAGTGAGAACACTTTAACAAAATTAAATCTACAAATCACAGTTCATATTTTGGTCACCCAACTCCTATTATTTAAAAATTTTTAAATAAGTGATAATTCTGTTAAACTAATTGTCAATATATATTTTAGTTATTGATATTAAATATACATTAAAATTTTTGTGTAGACTCGATAAATAATAGCATTTTTGTTTTTATTATGTCCACATTTAAAAAAAATAAATTTTAATCAAACTACATGATACTAATTTAATTACGAGTATTAAAACTAAAGTCCTGAAAGTTTCGGTGAAGATGAGGACAGAACATCTGTCTTCCATGCGAAAAGCCCGGGATCGAATCTAGGCCGAGGACTAATTAATTTTTCATGTTTATTTTATTTTATAAATTAGTCAACTTCGTAAATTATTTTAAAATTAGTTATTTTGTCTAAATAACCTAAAATAATTTTTTAAATTTGTAGATTTTCGTTAGTGGGTCGTAGAAAAAATATACTGACCATATCGAGTGGATTGTTCATATTACAATCAGACGATTGAGTACTCCGCCTACGACGTCGTGCTCAAACTTCGTCTTTGTGTGATATGGCTATCATATCCACCCTTGTTGAACAAACTACAATTTATTTGTTTTCTTGGTTTAAGTTTTACATCAGAAATAAGAACTAAATTAATTTACTTTTCAAGTTTTCTTGTAAAAATCGATATTACTTTCTCCAAGTACAAATTTAGTACCTACCTAAAATAAGTACTAATTATGTAATATCGTGTAATATTGTAATTCAAATTTCACATTACTATAAAGTTTCAAAATTCCCTACTTCGGTATGGTCAGATAAAAATTGAATATATTATATTAATAAAAACTGTTAAAGTATTACTTCTACAAATCTGTATTTCAATTAATAAGAATACATCTAAATATAACCAATATTGTTAAAATAAAAGCACAAATTCTTTATAATTCCAAAATACCATAGAGTTCCCAGACCTCAGTCGAAGCATTCGTTTATCTAGGTATAAACCCTTTGCGCGAAGAGTAACACTTGCCAGAGACACGGGGTACCACTTGATTTGCATTCACGAGCGTGACACATTTCTTTAACAATTGAAGCCCTTGGTGTAAAAAGGATCCAAGTCACAATTTGTCGTGAAGTGACTGTTTTAGCTCAAAACATTTGTTAACGAGGATTTTACTAGCCACATACAAATTATTTTACCTCTAATCCGAAAGATGTGCTATTTTTCGTAATATTTATATTTAAATAATTTTTTTAATTATATTTGACAGATTTAAAACAAATTAAAAATTTAATTTCCCAAAACTTACTTAACATGGCATGTAACCAACCTTATTACGTCAAGGTTTTCAATTTTTTCAATAATAAAAAAATTGCTTAATCCGGGCCCGACTTTTCCCTTTAATCTAACAGAGATAGCACCATTCCGTCTTGCTTGGTTCTCGACCGCCAGATCAAAGACGCCGACACGGAGTTGTGGAGCTGTATTGTATAAGCTGTGCTAAGGGTATATCACATCAGACCAAAAGGAATTTCAATAACTTTTTTACAGTACAGAGCTACTAACTATATTCCGTAAAGCTATTTCATGTATAAATCAGGAAATTCACTGAAATAATTAACTAGTAAGACTGGGTCACATCAGCACAAGATATTAACGTATATTGTAATGAGTACTAAAGAAACATGTAAAAGGGCGTTTTTAAAACACTGTTCGCCGTTTTCTACAAGTAAACCGAAAAGAGAACAAGGAATATAGTAGTAGAACATTGCGTGGAATGAGGGTTTAAATAAATTTAAGGAATTGAGGGAATGTGTTGGAATTGACACGAAATGTTCCGATAGTTACGTAAATTCTAGGAACTGGGAACTGCCAGGGAATTGCCGACGAATTGGCTGAGAATTTTCAATGATTTGTTGAGTTGGTAGGGCAAATTTTGGTAGTTGACAGTGAATTGCAGAGGAATTACAGGAGTTGTTATGCAATTGTCAGGAAATTGAAAGAATTGTTAAGGGATTGCTAAGAGATTGCTGAGGAACTGAAGAATTGCTAAAAAAATTCTGAGGAATTTAGAGAAAATTTAAAAAAGATTGCGAAAATTGGATAACAAATTTTGTTCGATGATTTACCTCTTGATTGTAGATGATTCAGAACCTAAAAGGTCCTGTCAGCAGGATCAAGTCCAGTATACAAAATTTATTTCTTACTGCAAGAGCCCGTATTAAAAGTATTTGTCTCAATTAAAATTTTTATAACGAATACGCTGTTAATAAAAGGTCCTCTTACCCCTGTATCTGGGATCCTGCGCCTTGAGCCTGGCGTACTGTTCCGAAGTCATGCAAGTGCACTGTGGTTCTCTGGCGGAAGCGGGCGGCCTGCTAGGCGATGCGGGCGTGCTAAGAGGTTTTCGTTTTCCGCCGGCCGTCTTCAGTTTTTGCTTGTTGGGCGGTTCCAACTTCAGACTGTACGATGACGACGCCTTGCGGCTAAACTTGAAAGACGGCGACTGCAACAGATCAGACTGCGTTTAATAAGCATTTTTAGGGGAACTACGTTACGCTTAGAATCGTTATGATTCAATAAAATTAGGAGTATTTTATATTTTGGACATTGGTTATGTGAAGTAAATAAATTGAACACGATATTATGTTATTGAATAAAATTAGGCAGCCTGAAAGATAATAAAAAGTGTCATAACAAATTATAGAGATTGATACATTTACAAAGTGTATTCATTATCATCTTTACAAGAGCCATAAATTACAACAAAATTTTTCTGCAATTAAAATGAATTTAATTAAAATTCGGTTAAAGATTACCATAATCAGGTTTGGAAGGAAAATATAACCTGTTAGGTAATCAATAAGATGCAAATTGATAGAAAGAAAATTAAAAAACTATTATAAAATAATTAGTTATTTAATGAAATACCAAACTGGTTGAAGTTTAAAAGATTATTTACAGAGCTAAAGTAGGCTTACATACGTATTGCATAATAACGGGTGTCCCAAAAGTTTTGGGAAAAATATTAAAGACATAAAAAAAATATTTTAAAAATGTATTTATCCCTCATAATACTACGTACAAAGTGGTTCCTTAACAATAAATAAAAACTACTACAGCACCGCTAGGGGTCCATTTTCTTTGATATGGCGCGGTTTTGTCCTGACGCGTCTCATTAGGGTTTGGCACTCTTCAACATCAAATTTCCTAATTTTTTGGAATAGCCTACGCCTCAGCTGCTGCTCGTTTTGAGCTTCCCAGCCATTTTTATAAACTTTGCTTGACAATCTTGCCCAAAATGTCTCTATTGGTCTTGCTTGGGAAACGTTCGGGGGGTTGACCTGCTTAGGCACAAATGGCACATTTTGAGCTTCTAACCATTTGCATGTGGCTCTAGCATAATTAGCCGACGCCAAGTCCGGCCAAAACATGATATTCTCTAATAAAATTTACCAATTTCGGAAGACAATTTTGAATGTAAGTATACGTTTATTACCATGGCTAACTAGATAAATTTGATTTAATACTCCGCAAAGCACAGACAAACTTTTTCCCAAAACTTTTGGGACACCCGTTATATTGTTGCTTTATCCTAAATATTGAATTTTTCGATACTATGCTTGGGATAAATGAAAGCGACAGCCTATTATTTTTATGTTTTGCCACATAAGTTTAACTGCATTATGAATCGCTAACTCAAAATCAATTACAACACAAAAAGGTTTAAAATAAAGACTTAATGTTTAACATTTTGCATCCAATAACTCAAATAATTTAAGATACACAGATTGTGATTTTGAGGGCAATCAGCAAAAAACTAAAGGTACATAGTGTCCATTTTTGTAACCGTGAATTGTAAAAAACTGTACAAATTATTTGATCGAATATTGAAATGTACCGTCCATATAAACAGTATCAACTGAACATAAATTAAAGTTGCTTCTGCAACCAAACACAATTATCTGTAAAAGCCTATCGCAAATAGAAAAAAACTGTTCGTTTTTATTTGTAATAAGATTCATCTTACGTAAACAAGTAAAAACATCCTCTTGAGTCTCGCGAGAATTACCGATCTTTGCACACGTGCGCTCAGAAAACACTGGATGCTAGAAACAATATATATGCCACAGTTTTTCGTGTCTTTTTTCTTCTCTTTCATCTGATGAAAACAGTTTTCTATTCAGATAATTAGTTTTCGAGTTATTTAAAAAAAAAATTAGGAGAAATCAAGAAAAAATTGTTTTGCAATTTTTTCAAAAAGTATTGTAGATTTCGCCACCCAACCCGTCTCATTCGGAACGTAACTAGAAAATACGTATTCTTGTCATGCATATATATCTTCTCCCATTTCTAATTTTTCTTGTAAATAACTAAAAACCAGATGTTAGACAACAATAAACAAGCTTATCACCAAGTTGGGACTTACACTCAGGCTTAGGATTAATTTCCTAACATTTTTAAAGTATTCCTGTTAATTTAGGAAGACGCACAATACGCAAAATGAGGTCTAAGTGTCTTAGCCTCCATACGTTACAGATAGAGATAAGGATTATGTCAACTCCTGACATATTTTTCTGAGCTAAGAGATTCAAAATATTTCCTATTTGCAGACGATCTTAAAATTTACAAGCGAATTACTACTGTTAGAAATTACATATGACTCCAAAGGGTACGAATATAATAATGCATTACTCATAAAATAAACGCAATACACTTTAAATTTATTATGGTGGGAGAATATAGAATTAATGAAGTAAAAGATATTGGAGTAAGATATGATTCAACTCTGTTATGTGCAGTGCACTTTGAAAAGATTTGCAAGAAGGCAAATAAAACAATATGAATTATTATAAAAAATAAAAAAACAGGACCAATAGTACTTATAGTACCTATTCAATGATTTATCCTCATCATTCACGTATATCATATTATCCTAAATGTGCTTTTCCGAATTGTTTTATATCCCCCTATGTATACATTTAGGCTCGCATTTACATAATCCACGCACCTACGCTAAAATCATAGCATAGCACACATTATTTACTTCTGGTGATGGATATGCGACAACACTAAACTCAAATCGATTTAGATGGGAGTCAATAAAAGTTAGCAAACTAGTTTCTATCGAGAGATTCCTAAATTAATTAGATCACATACTTGATGAAGTCGAACAGAGATCGGCCATTTACAATTTACCTTTGCGGTATATAGATTGGGTAGTTTATGAAATTGGTGCTTGAAATTGAGTTTTGATTTCAAAATGTGATGTAATCGCTTAGATAATTCATTTTATTTGATAGAGAGACAATAGAATTTCATAATTAAAGAATTTTGTAACTAGAAATTTCTGAATATATTGTTCGACACGATTTATCCACGTGTGTGGACCAGTTGCAAAGAGGTGAAGAGAATTCAGTCTTTATCGACCACATATAAAGATAGATATGAAGGCCTAAGTTTAAAAAATATTAAAAAAATCACCCGTTCACATGGGGGAAAAATACTGGACGTAATTTTACATTTTTTTTGTCATTTATTCGATGAAAAAAATTCTCCAGACTAATATTAATAATAAAATAAACAGATTTAAATATATTTTTCTTTTTATTTAATAATAATTAATACTTACACAACATTCCCTAAACTGCTTGGCATCGATGGGAGAAGTAAAGTTTAGACCCCATGTGTCATTTGTCATGGGATCCTTCCAATATACGAAACAGTCCGAGGCTTGTCCTATTCGAGTTCCTGAAAAGGAAGATTAATGTATTTTATAAGTACTTAAATACTATTTATCAGAAAATCAATGAAATTTATAAACATTTCAATTTACCAGACCCTATAAATATAAAGGGCATAATGTATTTAACTTTATGAAGCTGGTATTTTGTTTTAAAAGTCTATAAAGACTAGAGCATAATTTATTTAACTCTGTTGCTTTGAGGTTATGGAGCTGGTATTTTGACTTTAAAATCTATAATCACTGAAAAACTATATAAAAATAAAATGCAAGAATTAAAG